TTTTTTAAAAAAACATGCCATCTGAGATATATGAACTTGGGCCTAACTCCATTCTTGTAAGGACACCACTGGCACTCCCTTAACAAGAATTTTTAAAACAGTGATCCCTTTCCCTCTTCTATACGTCTCCTAGCCTCTCCACTGGGCCTTTACACTTTGAGAGGTCACTCAGGGCTTATTTTAAAAACAGTTTAAACTTTTAACTTGAAGTTAAGACATGCTTTTATCATATACTCAGTATGAAACATAAAATTCTTTACAAGAATTATAAAACTTTTAAAAATTAAAAATTTTTATAAACAAACATTGTTCTTATAAGATCTGGAACTAATATTAACTATTAGTACCATATCTTAGAACTATAAAAATACCTACTGGAATGATCCATCAGTAGTTTATAAAGGAAAATATTTTTGTGGGATATTTTTCTATCTAAGAATAAGAATAATTAAGAATTTCCCTTTCGGGAAGGAAAGAAAATTAGAACATATTTGAGAGAAACCAAAACTTTGTATTGTATAATTTTTTCTTGTGTGTTTACAAATGAAAGAATGATCTCCTTTTATAGGAGAGAAAAGAAAGAGGAAGCGTTTTTCAAAAGCAAGGAATCTTTGCTTTTTTCAAAACGTCAAAAAGAAAACAGTAAAAAGCTATACTATCAAATCTTACTTTATAAAACAGTAAGATTCTTTACAAATTTTTCAAAAAGAAAACAGTAAAAAGCTATACTATCAAATCTTACTTTATAAAACAGTAAGATTCTTTACAAATTTTTCAAAAAGAAAACAGTAAAGATTCTTCTTTTTGTACAATAATTCTTGGTCTTTTCTTGAATTCTGGAAGAAAGTCTTAAAGTGGCTGAGTCTTGTCTGCAAATCACCATAACTTTTTGTCAAATGTCTTCTTTAAGCAAAAATCTGAATGAATTCTTATCTTGTCTCATAATTATGTCTGCCAATGCTGTCTAAAGAATCTCCTCCATCAGTACAACCTTCTGGATTAACATCTTCTTCTGAATTATTGTCTTCAAAATTATCCAAGTCTTTTCCAATTTTCTTTTTTCCTTTATTTTTCTTTTTAATCTGAATCTTCTTTTTCTTTGTAGTACTTTGTTTAACTTGTTGCTGTATTTCTTCAATCTTGTCAAACATTTCTTTGATTCTTCTAATATCTGATTGAGAAATCTGTTCTGGATCTTGAGCTAATTGAAATGATTCAGGAAAATTAAATGGGCTTTTCTGTTTAAGGTCTGTTGGACTTATAAGTCTAATAATAGAATTTTCAGTCTGCTGTGTCTGATCTTCAGAAAAATTTTTATTTTCTGTAACAGGATTTTCAGCCTGTTGAGTCTGATTAAATTGAAAAGGATTGAGAAATGTGTTCTGGATCTTGAGCTAATTGAAATGATTCAGGAAAATTAAATGGGCTTTTCTGTTTAAGGTCTGTTGGACTTATAAGTCTAATAATAGAATTTTCAGTCTGCTGTGTCTGATCTTCAGAAAAATTTTTATTTTCTGTAACAGGATTTTCAGCCTGTTGAGTCTGATTAAATTGAAAAATAGGGGAATCAACAGTCCCCTGAGTCTGTTGAGCTTTTGGTAAACCCAGAACCATAAACGGATTTGATAAGTCTTTACCAGCTTCCGTTTGAGCTGGACTAGCTATAGAATTCTTGGGCTCTATAGTACCTGCTTGTGTCTGGACAATTGGATTTGAAATTTTTAAATTAATAATTTCTTGTTGGGCTCTATAGTACCTGCTTGTGTCTGGACAATTGGATTTGAAATTTTTAAATTAATAATTTCTTGTTCTAATTCAGAAATTTTCTTTTGTAAAACTAATTTTTCTTGTTGTAAAGACTGATTTGACTCATTTAAAATTTTAAAATTCTTAGTCATACATTCACAATGTTTACAAAATTTAGAAGCATAATCTAAAGGCTGATCTGAAACATTCTTTAAAGAAGGAGCAACAAAATAATTAATTCCTATATTAAAACAACATAACATTTAAATTTTTTATGGTCTTGACTAAAATGTTCTGAAAGAGCATTTAAACATGCTAAAAAATATTTTTGATCTTTTGGATTCTTATTGTAAGATATCCATAAATTATCTAAAATGCATTTTTCTGATTTAGTAACTGAAATATGAGAGAGTGTCTTAAAACTAATATTACTATTTGGAAAACAAAGCAACTCTATATTACCAAATCTTAACTTATCATGAGTCTGTAGTATATTTGTATGAGAACTGGAACTGCCAACAATTGGCAATCCTGGTCTGGGACCTCTTGGTCTTTGCATCT